TGTGGTGATTGTAATAGATCACATAGTGTATGGTTTAGTGATGAACTGATGTCAAATATAAACTGTGAGACTAGTGTCCTGACAAATGCTTTAATGCATTCTTTCAGTGGGTATAATCTATATCAGTTAAACACATTGATGAATTCAAGAAATATTTTTTGTGCATCATATTTTCATCCTGAAAGGATATTTCAGTAAACAATCCAATTGAATATAATTTTTATAATAGCTTCCACTGTTCAGTCGATGAAGCTTTCGATTCAAAAACATGACTTTAGGAATAGTATACCTTATGAATAATTTTTGACAGCATTGATTGGAAATCCTTTTTGATGAAAAGAGACATAAATTTGTCTTCAGTGAGTTTTTATTGTGTATTATAAGATGTTATTCCTGATTCTGTTCCTACATAAAAAAAGTTAAAATTCTCAAATTTTTCCACTTGATTCAATAGTGCGTTGAAAATTAATAGTTAGAAAAGAAAAAGCACACAGAGAATACACAAATGGCAATGTTGAGGCGTATCATATCTGATTATAAAAGTTCACGACATAAGTGATGTACTTATATCTCCAAAACTGTAAATAATATTTCAAATAATCTTCGATACTTCTGGACATATATCAAACATAAAAAGAAGCTTTACAACCTCCTATTCTGTATGGTTGATGAATATGTCTCTAGTAATACTAGAATGGAGTAATTTTTTTCTCAAAATATTTTTCAACAGTTGATCATGATACCATAATAAACTGAATTCCTCAATACAACTTTCACAAGATGGCTGATGAAAAAAATTATATATTCGGTACTAACATTACCATGTAAACTTACAACAGGTCCTAATGACATCTCTGTGCACTTGTTCAAAAATTGTATCTAAACATGTTCAAAACTATATCAAACTCATTCATGAAAGTGGTTTTTGTGATATGTTGAAAGGGTTATCTGCAATCAATCAGAGTTGTTTGAAATGTTGGATTGTTTGATAGCCAGGAAACTTTCTTGGGTTCTCAAAGGCATCATTATAATAATAACATTGATTCAATGAATGAAAATCAACTGCTACTATTCAACTCACTAGAATACTATTAATGTAAGTTACAAAAAGGATATGAAGCTCTATGACTTCTATTTGATTATCTGCGAGCGCTTTCGACAGCTGGTCGTGCTGTCATTTTCTAGGCACTTTTCTATCTGAACGTGTTAGCCTGTTGTGTGTCTTTTTATACGTTCCGAATGCCGAACAGGTCCATTTTCTTGAAATCTGGCTTCTTTTGTGACGTGAGAATTTTCACTGGACCAATAATGATAATTTTTTTTATTGAAAATTCCTTCTCTCAAATATTTCTATTCATCAGTTCAAATAATCCTATTGAAAAAATGGATCTCCTTGAATGCGTATCAACAACACTTCACAAAGTTCAACTCTTGTTAACGGTCTTGAGGCTTCATTGCTGAATTTTGGTGAATTTATCAGCATTCTACGTCTTCGGAAGATTCATCGAACCGATGAATATTTTATACAGAAATCATCTAAAACACTTCTTATCGATGACCCAGGAAATGCGTATGAAAATATGCTAAGACATTAATCTAGTTGTCTTCAGAAGTTACGGGTTTCTGGATATTTTCAAAAATGATCCAAATGCATTGGAATTGTTCTGAATTCATATAAATTTCTTGAGGTTCATTTGCGGTAGATTCGGATACCTTTCGTTGAACTTTCTACATGGCCTGCTGATAATTTCATCACACTGTCCAAAAAATAACAAACAAATTCATAAGTAATTCGTTTGAATATTTTTGTTTCATCGTTTTGGAGGTATTTGAAACTTCTAAAGTGACGAAAATGTCTATTTTATCGGGAGAATGTCACAACGTTAATGTCAAATAGTAATCATGGCCTGCTTACAAAATACTCAATGAGAATACCATTCTGAATGGAAATTTTTACAAATGAGCATAGAAAGAAAGCACATTTTAACAGCTTTGGGAATTTGTAATCATACACAGGGTGTTCCATTCAAAACGATCAACTTTTCGAAATAATCAACCAAAAAATCTGTATTTGTCACCACCCTGTATTATAGTAAAGTATAGTACTTTCTGGTGGAAGTGGCAACCTCGCTGGGTAGAGAATGTCCAAGTGCTCTCCGTTGAATTTTCAAAGTGATCCGGTGCCTGGTTCACCAGAAACGTCTAAAGTGCCATCCACCGTGAATCAGACTGTATTCAGTGGCATTTAGGCAGGTTAGTTGAACCTGTACCTAAAGTAGCAGAAATATCACCTGAATCATCAACACCTCATTTGAGATACCAAAACAATAATAATTTAACTTCCATAACATATCAACATCACTGGGTATTGATCCAAAACCACAATTTGTGGATTGCTCCAAATACCGATGAATCCTAAACTAGTTGTCAAGATTCACAAATTGAAAAGGGGGGAGCTGTAAAGTCCTAGTTAGTCATTGAGGGTTTTTATTCAATTTATTTATTTCCAATGCTTCCAACAAATTCATCTCCCTTCCTTTGCTGCACGTATGGAGAATTTTCGTGTTTTCTTTATTTATTGTGTGGTTTATTTCTCATAGATGCCCATAAATAGCTGATTTTTTATCTATTAACGCATGCCCAGGCTACCTTATGTAAATGACCTAGTAAATGACGGAATTATGTTAAATTCTGAAAACTATTAATAAAAAAACTATTTTTCAAAAACGTTTAGAAGTCTGTTCTTCTTTGCTTTCGCACAACCAAAACGATCTTTTTTGGATTGGATCATGTGATGAAACCCCACCAAAAAAAAAACATGGTTACTGTATGGTGGTCAGCGGCTGTTATGATTTTTTATAACTCTCTGCACTCGGCCAAACCATCACAACAGTGTCGTATTGTGAGGAAATCGAAGGAATGTATCGAAAATTGCGTTTGCAGCAGCCGGCACTGGTCAAGAGAAGAGGTCCAATCTTGCTCCACGACAACGCCCGTCTGCACGTTTCATGGATATCAGCATCCGAAAATTGAACGAATTGAGCGTCAAAGGTCGGTATCACCCACCATATTCCCCAGACCTTCATAAACATACCTCTCACAAAACTTATATGATCATTATCATTTCAATCCTACAAGAAATAATGAGTTCTTAATTCAATTATTCACCGAAAAGTAGTTTCTTCTTTTTGGTAATATTACTATTTTGAAAAACCATCAGACATATTAGATACATATTAAAAAAAAGAAATATTGCAACATACACACAACATACACACAACACTAACACAAAACGACATGAAACAAACGAATGGCTTAATCTGTGATTCTGATTAGGTGGTGTCTATTTTTTTATCAATGACAGAAAAAAAAAGAATAAAAATAGGGTGAATTATTTAGGTATTTTACTTATCAAATTGGAATATGCGGTATTAAGGCCATCGATATCTCTTCTAGTGTTAACACTATCGCATCTGAGGATATGTATCATTCAGCTCAAAAATTCTTTTGGATAAATATGGTTGAACATCTAGAATAGTTGGATGATCAAAATCAAAAATGTGTCCATATTCTGTGGGGTTTTTTATATTAACATTCTCAGAGCCTTTCATGTGATCTGAAATTCGTGTTTTGAGATACCGTCCGGTTTGATAAACATATACTTTGTGACAGCTTTCACAATTCAATTTGTAAATTATATTGGATTGTATTTCTTGTGGTGTTTTTGTTTTAGAAGAAATGCCTCTCAACTGTATTTTATTTTGTTTAGAAAAACCTATTGTATCTAGTCTGCTGTCGAGATTTCAACCCAAAATATATATTCAGTTGACTAGTTTAGTCATCCAATAATTTTTGTGAAGAAAGGTTGGTTGGATAACAGGATCAAATTTTTTCCTAAAAAAAAATTGTTTTCTTGCTGACGTTTCGAATTCAATTCATAGAATATGGATTGTGAAGAAAGGTTGGTTGGATAACAGGATCAAATTTTTTCCTAAAAAACAATTGTTTTCTTGCTGACGTTTCGAATTCAATTCATAGAATATGGAAAAAGTAAAAAAAAACGTTTTGATGATATTAGAGGCATGTGTTTCTGAAAGATAATCTCGATATAATTGTAACCAAAGCTTACAAAGGTAACTCGACGGTTATAATGAATAAAAATGAATTTCTTGAAAAGGCTACACAAATTTTGAATGTTAACGACACTTATTTACGATATAAGATTTTACCATAAAGATCCAACAAAAAAAATTCAAAACAAATCCAACAAACTGATTAACAACGGGGATGTGTGTGTCCTTATGTATTTTTATCAAAAATACATAAGGATGGAATAACTTTGAGACCTATAATTAGTTGTTGGTTCTCCCGTTTATGGGTTTTCGAAATGTATTAGCGGAATATTGACACACGGTTTCGAAAAAGATGAATTCTATGTTTTTGTTTTTGTTTTTGAATTCTGTATAAACTCCAATCATTATTTTTGTTACAATGGATCTTTTTACAAACAAATTTCCGGGTTAGGAATGTCAACTATTTGTGCAGACTTGGTCATGGCAGAACTACAAAATATGTGGATAAAACATTTGTCATTTTCATTGCCTGTTTTTGAAAGATATTGTTACTTCCATTCCAAAAAATGAAAAACTGAAATATTAGATAATTTTCATAGTTTTCATCCAAAACTGAAATTCACTCTTGAAATGGAAGAAAACAATTCGTTAGCATTTCTAAATACTGTAATAATAAAAAATTTCAAAAGTAGACTGATATCAATAGAAGTTCAACCATATTTATCCATTACATATCCTCAAATTCGATACTGTTAATACTAGAAGAGATATCGATGGCCTTAAAACGACATATTTCAATTTAATAAGTAGAATACCTAAATAATTTACCCTTTTTTCATTTTTTTTTCTGTCTGTCATTGATTTAAAAACAGACACAACCTTATCTGAATCACAGATAAAGCCATTCGTTTGTTTCATGTCGTTTTGTTTTGGTGTGTTTTCAGAAGTTTGTCTGTTGCAATGTTTCTTATTTTTTTTAATATGTCTAAAATGTCTGATGAATTTAAAAAAGTAATATTATCAAGACGAAGAAACTACTTTTCGGTGAATAATTCAATTAGGAACTCGTTATTTCTTGTAGAATTGAAACGATAATAATCGTATAAGTTTTGTGGAAGGTATGTGTATGAAAATTCATTGTAACAGAGCCTTGAAGAAGAATTTAATCAAATTCGAAACTTCGGCAAAAACCTATTGTTTTTTTTTAAGAAAAAAAAGCAACCTCATGTAATCAATATTAATCTCGTACTACCATGAAAGATCAGGAACAAAGAAACAAAGTGTAATTTATAGCGCGAATCGTCTATGAATTGCTTTCAACTCAAGCAGTTTTATGTATGTACATTTTGTTCTTGTGAATCAATACTTAAATAACTTTTACTCATTGTGGCTTCCATATTTCTTTTGTTGTTGTAACTCTCTGTTGAAAAATATCATTATTACTATAGTTGCTGATATCTCTTTCATACACATACATTATACATCACAATTCTGAAACAATTCATGAAAAATTGTTTTCTACTCCTGCGTGATTCAAGTGAACTATTGAAGAATAAAACTTTCAGTTATAAGTAAGAGATATCAGTTCACATTCATTTTACTATCATAAAGTACACATTTAATGACCCTATTCTACCATTTGTGAGCAACAAGTTTAATAATGAAATAAACTATGAAATGTGGAGAACAGTCGAAAATCAAATTATGGTCTACTAGTTCTTGAAATTCTGCATGTTAGATTGCCTTTGGAAATTATTCTACAAATTGCAATAATACATGCATATTGGCAATCGAGAGATTCACAGACCGACTACTTGCATTGGTACCGCAGGCGCTTTCAGCTAACTTGATTCCAACTTGCTCTCCCATATAGCCTTCAATTCTATTTTGTTCTCATTTACCGACTCACATGTTCCGCAAACTCTCTTAATCATCTTGGTTAGCTGTCAGTGATTGCCGGTAATATCGCCAACCACGTTCATTAAAAATGGATATGACAGATGAATAGTTGACTGGGGTGAAGTTCAGTATACTTATACAGAGTTTCATAGGCAGAATAGAATCGGAAAATGTTTATTTATAATGAATAAATTCGAAACATGTATTCGTCTGAAATATAAAGGATATTCACGTTATATATCATATATCGTTATATGTTCACGTGTATATCAAACATAACAACTTTAAAATTGGCAACGAAATGCGTTCAATAGCAAAGAAACTAGTAAAATTTCATTTCGTAAGTTGCTCAACTGATAATAAAATTTCAGACGTTGCCAAACAAAATTCGAACTGTCATTCTTTCTTTTGTTTTCAGAACTAATTATTTCTTTTGATAAGACCTGCGTATATTCAATATGCTTGAAGCATTGTCGAAACAACCTCAACAAAGTTGTATTTCAACTAAATAAATTAATAGTGAGTAAGGTTAATAGCAATAAAACAAAACAACAGTAAAAAAAAAATTAAAGTTCGAAATAGTGCACATGTTGGCAACGCCGTAACTTGTCATCTAGTGACGTCATTCTCTTCTTACCGTGAATATTCTATAACAGGTTAAATTTCAATTGTCTGATTTATCAGAATTGTGAATCGAAAAGTAGGCATTGAAAGTAGATATCATTTTTGAAGGAAGATTTCTGAAAACTCCTTTCAAAAAAAGTGAATTAAGGTTTTGTTCTCGTATATATGGCCATTCTTATTGCAATAAGAGATTACTGCAAATATATTCACAAATACATGGGACCGTAGCCTGGTGGGTTGACATGGGTGGTTTGCTCGACACACTCAATCGACCGCTGTGTAAACCGGTGGTTCGAACCGCAATGCCAGACGATCGATTTTCACTTCCTATTGTCAAACCTGTGTTAGGAACCACACGTTATAAGGTAAGACCTCGTTGGTCCTTAGCTCGCACAAGTTTTGACTTTTATATTATATAGCTTATCGTCAGATGTGGGAAAGTGAAAGTTTTATTAAAAAATAAGAAAGTGAACAAATCGTAGATCAAGTTTCTTTCAGATAAAAACTGAAAGAAAAAATCCATGATGATTGATTTAATTGCATAACATAGATGAGTTATATTTTTTATAACCGAAACCATTTGGAACCAAATATTTAAAACCCTGGAAAACAATTTGTTTTTGCATATTTTCTGTAATGTTTCATATTGCAGCGATTTACAATAACTTCATTCGATAATCTAATATCTCTCATTTTACATTTTTAGAAAGTTTAAACAACAATGTTTTAAAAAATAATAAAAAAATTTCAAACAATGGTTTTAAAACTGAATTATTTAATAACAGTTTCTCAGATATTACCATTGTCTAATAAATTTTTTCATAGTAGTATTACTTTCCTTTCAAACCATCTGAAAGTAGATAGATCAATTGAATAATAATCACTATTGATTATGAATAAATGTTTAAAGCAAATACTTATTTTACTTTGAAGATGAGGTATTTTTCAGATTTAAAATCAATATCATAATGAAAATACTAAAAGATAACTTTCATGCGATGATCTTTTCAAGAAAAATCGTAACGGAAAAAAAAGTTTTTTCTTTTCTCCGAAAATTGTAGAATATATGGAAAAATGGCTACTAGAAGAGTTGTAGATTTCTATTTTACCTACAACTTTGGAAGTTTCAATAGGTGGTTTAGTTTGATAGAAAATCGTGAAAATCTATTTTCCACTCCTAAAATTCACTCCATTTCTTCCCCTGTACCTTACTTACATTGACTTCAATATTTATTTTTTCCGAAGTGAACACATCATTTTCTTTCTCCCACATATATTTTAATACTAAATTCATACAAAAAGATAATATAGAATTCTTCCAAAAAAAGAAGAGGGAGAAGTAGAAAGCCAGTACCTTCTTTTCCCAAATATTTTTATACTGTTATCAATATATTTCCTTACAAAAATCATTTGCATTGGCCTAGTAATTATGTAAGAAAATCCTTGAATTATTGAAATATACAATACATTCCCAGCTGGATTACCTGAACTGAGCCACATTTATTCTGTTTTACACACAACCGACATCACTATAAAATTTATTAAAAATTAAACATTGATAAGAAATCGTGTACTTATGAGAATAATAACTGGACGGTAGGGTAACGTCCATAATGCCCACGTGCTTTGATGAGATACGCCAATGAGCATTTGGGGAGCGTAAAGCAAGGGTTAATCTATGGTGGTGAATATCCCCTGAAGCTAGGGGGTGCGAATGGGTGTTAGATAACATGGTGTGGGACTACTCCGAATCGCCATTGGCGTGAAGAGAAGGACGATAGCGAGATATAACCCTTAGATACATTTGATACGAATTGTTAACGAAGTGATTATGTATTAAAATGTCTGCTAATTTAATATCTTATATGCCGCTTTAGTTAATGTTAACGTGTTAACAGAGATTTCGCTATCGTTGCAAAATTAATTATAGCCTGCCGATGATTAATGGAAGTACGGCAATTGACGTTATACTCGGGTATAACTTGACACTCAAAAATGTATTCTCCATCAATCTATTTTGTTAAGGCTGCTAGGTGAATATTATTATGAAGATCGACCTTACTTTGGATTATAAATATACAGGGAGATGAGTATCAGAAATTAAATAAATTTCCTTTTCGAAGCATAAGAATACTATGAAATCATCGGTTGAAACAGTTGTTTCTATCTAATATATTCAAAAACAGATTAATTCGTGAGATTTTCACCAAACATCACAATGAAGTGTTTTTGAATACGTTATGGATTTTCATCAAGTATCGGCCAATTCCATCATATGTTTCTATCTACAGAGAAAGAATATGTTGAATTGAAAATGTTACTTTTCTCACTTGCTACACACAAAAAAAGGAAATCGAATTCAACAATAATTCAATAATAAGTTTATCTCAAGTGTATTCGTTTCACTTTTACTCTTATCAATAGTCTATTTATTATCACGTTTCATTGTTGACCTTATCGAATCTTTCACAACGAATGCAATTAGACTGCGAAATGTTGTGAGTCAATCCACTGAAGATAGTACGGATAAAAAATAAATCGCACATGGGAGCGCTCAGCGTTGCCAGGTCTATTGTTTTTGCAGTAGATCTTCGAACAACTGTCCTACTATTTGAGAGTAAAAATCTACTGATGATCCAGTTTACTTTATATAATTATTGAATTAAATGACTGCGAATAGTGAATATCACCATGTGTATGTGGTACCCAACTAGCAATTTTATATTTTTGGAGAGACAAATTATAAAACTGTATTTCTCCCAGAAATATTTTCAATGTACTTATAAAACAGCTATAAGTTGGAAACTGGTACCGTTTCATAAACATTACAGTCTTTATTAATATTTTGTTAGGCCTCTTACAAACACTAAACAGTTTTATGAACATTCCGGCAGTTACTATAAACATTTTCTAACACTCTTAAACATTTGTTTTGTGAAGTTACTTATAAAATAATTTAAACACAATTTCATAAGAGTTTTTGAGTAGTTCCAAGTAAGCGTTATAAAATACAATGTTCAAAATGTTTTTTTAAAGGCACAAGAAGTAGTTTTATTGGACACTAGGAAAATATAATAGATATGTCATCAACTGAAAACTAATAAATAGAAAGGTTGAAGCCATGATTTCACTTTCGTACTTATAAAAATGTTGAATACATTTTTTGTGCTTCAAAGATTGATATTTTCACTGCTTCTGAAATTTTATTGACAAATATATATCCTATTATTAGCAAAATTTAAGCGCGCCACTCTTTTATGAATGTTTTTGGAAAAAATATTAATTATGTAAATATTCACTCTGTCGACATATTAATTTTCTAGTCGCAACTTTAACTCAGTCTGTTCTTATAATATCTATGTTCTTTTCAGCTGTAAATATCACTATATGTGCGGTATTTCATATTTTCAACTCATCTAATTTCAGTTTTTTGAATACGTTAATCTAATGTCAGTATTCCGAACTGCTATCATGTTAAAATGGCGTCGTTCCATAAAATAATTTGGTGTCAATAGTAAGCA